TAGCGATGGATCAATTCAACGTCAGTTGTCATTTGTGTTGTGGTCTGCAAAGATCACTCGAGGATTGCCTCGACTTAGATGCAGTGGCAAAAGGTTAAGAGCAAGACCGATTCGCCGATGTGACACCTGTTCGTTGTGAGTCACAGAGAGTCACACAGGTTTCCAGGCAACTAGTCACTCTGAGTACCTCACTGATGAATCTGTGTCTGTGTTTTCACTTCAGTCAGCTGTCAGTTGTCTTGCAGTATCATTGAACGAGGGCACCTTACTGATTGTACTGTCCTTGTCACATGACACCATCAGGTTTGTGGAGTGAAGCCTCTGGAGGTGCGATCTGTCTGAAGTTGCATGTGACTGAGTGAGGTGTCATGTGACTGAGTTGCATGCATCTAAATCCAATGCCATATCAGCCATCAGCTGTCAGTCAGGAATGTGTGTTTTGGCCCCAATTGTTGGTGACCTCACACCCCTGGTCCACTGATGATTCAATGATAGTCCTGAGTCCTATGCTCTGGCCAGGATGTGCTACGTGCACCTGTTGAACCTCAGTTGTGCCTGACGCTCAGTGGTCATGGTGTGTGTGAGCTGTGGTTCCACAAATGACTTTGAATGACTCTGTGGCTTTCAAGCGTCAAGCGTGAGTGAATAGTAGCTCAAATGGTCTATTGTCAATTGTCAGTGAATAGCTCAAATGGTCATCTGTCAACTGTGGATCAGGCTAACAAGCAAACACAGATACATTATTACAAATGTCTCAGTGTAAAGGACTGAGAGGTTACACACAAACACCTGCGCCTTTGAGTTGCAATGAATCGTCTTCCTGCAGCTCTTCGCGCCTATCATTTTCAAGAGCTATCATGTGTACTTCCTACATGTGTCGCATATGAGCACGAGGATGAGTTTTGGTGGAATGTGGCTCACATTCATGACCGACTGTCTGAAGCGTTGGATGGCCAGATTGAGAAAATGGGTGTGTTCACAAGCAACAGCCAGAAGACCTTGGATGATAAGCAATCCATCAAAGAGAAGCTGGGTGGAGAATCAGTGTATGTAAGACCCTGGAATGATAGGTGGGGAGTGGACTGGACTGATCAAAATTGTTTTATCAAGTCGGTAATAACTGGACTGTACTAACTGGACTGGACTGATCAACAATGTGTTCTAGTGTTGTAGTACTTGTGGCACGTTAATCAATCAAATCAAGTAACCCTCCTCCATTGGAATATACTGTCAGGCTTCGACCAGACATGCTGGATGCATCAGTTTGCAAGACATGCGGTCTTGTGTACTATCTTTTTGACATTGTGAACAATTCACGCGCAGATGCAAAGATAGCTTTTGGAGCTACATGGTTGAAGAGAGTGGCTCTTTGTGCTGTTACAGTTGTGAATTCATCAGATGGAGGCCGTGCTTACATGACTGAGGATGGCCAATCATTGACGTTCAATTCAGCTGGCGCGTGTAACCTTGAATCTGATTTGGCATCAGTTCATGGGGCAGTCAGGACAACATTGAAAGAGAGTTGGACCGACATGAAGAACCAAGGCAAGGTCTCCACTGAGTTCACCTCAGCGTCAATTATGGACCTTGTTTGTTTTGTATCAAGTGTGTTGCGCCAGCGAAGGGAGAACAAGAAGCGCAAGTGGTCATTGAAGACAATGCAACTGTTTGACTTGATGTTTTGGGCTTTGAACAAGTTCCTGTCAGCTGTAATCAATCAGCGTTGCCAACAAATCAAAATGAGTCTTGGAGACAGGTTGCTTGACAGGCGCATTCCATCACGGTCATTATCTTCAAATTCTCCAAATGAGCCTGGTCCACAGCAGGCTCAGGTGGTGCCCCGAGAGTCTGATGATGATGAGCCTGAGGAACCTGGAGCAGCAGCTGAGCCAAAGAGAAAGGCCAGAACAAGAGTCAACCTGAATGAGATTTGGCGCATGTATAGTTCCAGTGTGGAGATCAATGGCATCACCTTGTCCATGCTGCTCAGGACCAAAGAGAATGATGAGGAGTCAGGTGTGAAGAGATCGGATTCACAGGAGTCAACCACATCAATTTGGTGTGTGATGGATCTACTCATTCCACACAAGACATTCTGATCAGTGTGTGCTACAGTCGAGATAACGATGTTGCAGTATATCCACCACCACAAGCTTTGAGTTCGAGCAAGTATGTCAGTCCTGGTGAGATCAACTGTAGCAGTGCAATTGACAAACTGTTAGCACAGGGCAAGAGGGAACGGTTGGCAGGATACCGCTTGCGCCAAGCCATCTCACACCAAGTCAAGCTGATTAGTCGCTCAGAGCTTTCATTGGGCAGCTTTATTGAAAGTGATGAGCAACAGGCATTGGGACTTCGGCCTTTGACTCCAGATGTCAATCGAGTTGTGTCAGGTGTGTGGGTTCACTATGTCCCAAAGGATTCCGAGGATTTCAATGAGGCCAAGAAATGCAATTTGCTTCAGCTTGCGGAGCTTCCAGTCCTGGTTGTGGGTCAGGACCAGGGCCCTGTTGGGATGGGCATGTCTGCCTACCTTCAAAATGTTGGAGCTTGCATGATGCATTTCTACTGGGATCCCTATCACCGGTTGAATCGGGACATGAAGAGTGGCCTTGAGCACTGCCCTCGTCCAGAGAAGAACATGCTCCAGCAGGGTCGACTGTGCAGTTCGTACCTCTGGACTCTGAACTACAAGCCCTTCACGAAAGGCGGGTTTCACAGTGAGAAGCAGTCACTTCTGAACATGTTCCTGGAGTCACATGATCAGGAGTCAGATGTGTTTCTCGAATACTGTGACCTGCTGGCCCTGGACTTTGGCTTTGGTGCAGCTTCAACTTCAGAAGACAGACAGCGGCTCTTTGACAGTTTGGCCAGCAACTTGCAGTCCTTCCGCCTGAAGAAGAGCGCAGTGAAATCTGGCCGGTGGTTCTCATGGCATGATGCCTGCCATGACCACTACAGTGAGTTCTGGTCCACAAGAATGCTGCTGTCATCTGCGCATGGGTTGGAGCCTTCTCCTGATAGAATGTCAGGAGCTTCGCCGA